AATAATAATAATAATAATAATAATAATAATCAAAATGTTTTATAGAGAACTGTTGTATTTCAAAATACTGTACAAAACAACATTTTATGTACTGTTTTGAATTTTACATCTTTGTTTTGCTTGCTATATTTTAGTTCACATTTATCTTATTTCTTAAGTATTTTGATGTTGTATGTTTCTTTTGTAATTGTTAATGAACACACCATCGGATTCTGATGTGTGCCACTGATCTTTGTTGCTGCGTTTGGTCTAACTGTAGTATTCAAAACGCCAATTGTTTACAAGTGCTTATGAATAGATTAGGTAGAATTTTGCTTTCTGTAGATATTAGACTTCTATTAATCATATATTAAGTACTCTTGGCTGGAGAAGACTCAAGGCTAGTTGGGATGAAAAATTACTTATCATGATTTTAAAATGTTTAAAAGGTTATGCTCCACAATGTGTTCAAACTATACCACTTTGAAAATCAGTGTAATAGTACTGAAAGTGCCTACAGTATAAAGAAAGAATAAATAAATAAATAAATCGAAAAGCGTATGTTCAATAAAGCTCAGTTCAGTTTAGTGAGTAACTCTTTACACCACTACCCAGCTTGCATTGTTGATGAGCTGTAAAGTCGTTCAGGCTATATTTCAGTTATAGGAGCAAGCAATTCATGACATAAATATAATTAACAAAATGTAACACATTTCAGGCTTTGTTGGTAGTGGGTTCAGTACATAGAAAATTCTGTTTCAATATAAATTTATATTTTGAATTCTATATTCTATTAGTGTTTTATTAATATCATTTCATTAGTTACACTTTCAATTACAATAAAATATTGTTTTTTCAATACCTTTCCTTTTACATTTAGTAAATTTTTGGATTTTGGATAGGTGCTAGTATGTTTTAAAAAGAATGTTTTTGGTTCCATAATTGTGTGTTTAATTATTTGTCAGATTCAGATTTTAATTTTTCCTACCCTAATTTATTTTTGTATGTATATGTATATACAAAAATATTATAATGTATGGAATGAATGGAATGAATGAATAGTCAATCTATCAATTAACAAATTAATGAATCGACACGAAAGAGGTCTACATATGGCATCAAAGACATATTGGTATATACTTTATATTTTATTGCATACAAATAGATAACAGATTCAGACAATTATAATACAATAATTTACCAAATGTATATATACAAAACAAAAGATGTCAATGTATATAAAATATACAAGTAACAAATATTTCTTCAATACTAAACAAATATTAGCTAAAATAGTTGATAGAACCATAAACCTTTCTTGAATAATATGTTAGATATCTATGGTAACATCAAATTATCATCAAAGATGTATTGCCTATGGTAGCCATAGAAAAATTGAATTAATTTTAATTGAATTGAAGGATAACATTTTCAAATAACTCAGATCAAAAAAAAATCTTTTCATTTGTTTATGGACTTTTTGCTACAAAAATTTAAAATTTTAAAATTTATTAGACACACCAATATTTAAGGGTCTATATGCAAAGAAAATATAGAAACATTGTTTATGGAGCTGAAAAAAATATTGCTTATTCTGACATACAATTTAAAGCTAATAATGATTAAATTTGATTTTCTTTAAATGTTATTAGATCAACATACAACAGAATATATCTGTAAAAAAATTATCAATTACAAATGTTAGGTTAAACTATATGTGAAATGTTATATAACATTCTATATCAACACATGTCAGAGGTCATTCTCATATACTTTTTAATTTATGTAGCATGTATAGTTTTAAGCTTTCTTATATCCTAGGAGGTAATGTTGCTCCTAAAAATTATTTTTCTATTAACTTTTTTACTAACTATTAGTATTATTTTTCCTTTATCCATTTATATCCTAGGAGGTAATGTTGCTCCTAAAAATTATTTTTCTATTAACTTTTTTACTAACTATTAGTATTATTTTTCCTTTATCCATTTATTTAAAGTGATTCATTCCAATATTCTCTGTACAATCATTCCGAAAATTATCAAATTTCATTCGACAGTATGTATAAAATAAAAGTCTGGAATTGCACATAAAATTTTGTTCTAAAATTATCTTTATATTATACTTGATTTATTTTTTAATCAATTTTCTTGTGTCTATGTCCAATATGGGTGCAAGTAAATCATAGTTTAATAAGTTGTAATTTTCTAGTTTATATAATTGCTGTCTATAATTATAAAGCATTGCTTGATGGATCAACCAGTGATGGTAATTAGATAAATTAATAAATAAATGATTACATTTTACAGGGTCAGTGTCTGGACAGTGAAGGAAACTAATGTGCTTGAAGATCACACAAGGGGGAAATTTAGCAGGCCTGTATCCAGTGGTGCGATGCACTCCCTCCCTTCCAAACAGCAAAGGTCAACATTTTTTAAAATTTACTGAATATATGATTTTATTTCTTTTATCTTTCACATTTCCATACATCTCTACACTTGTTTTTACAGTACATGGGAACTTCTTGCATTTTACACTTAACAAATTAAAATGCATTATTTGGTATTTTCTGTAAATAAGATTAAAAGGGATTTTTTTACAGTAATTTTTAGACCAGTATTTTGGCCATGTTATTCTGAAAAAGTACAAGAAAAAGGTACTATTTTATATAGTGTTAATTACTAATATATAGTGTAGGGTAAAATCTGAAAATATGCCCCTACAAATTAAGTATATATATATACATACATATATACATGCATATATATATACATTATATATACACATCTAGATGTGTATAAGAGACAGCAAACAACGTAGTCGAAGTTTTAACTACGACTAAATCAAGTCCTAGTTTTAGTTCAACTGAAGACGACTGGTAAGCCACGACTATCAAACTAACCAATAAAAAGGGCTAATAATAATAGCAGACGAAATTTTAGAGATCCGGTAACGCAGATGAATACCGTGGGTCAAAAACATATTTCCTCATAATTCATAATAGACCATCATTCGCTTAATTATTTTTCTATAATACATCTAGATGTGTATAAGAGACAGATATATATATATACAATAATGATGATGCAAAAACAATGATGCAAAAATGCTAAGTAGACCACACAATGTTTTATTTAGTAAACAAATATTTTGTCTTGTCCTCAAGACTTTATCACCGTAAATGAGGACAAGACGAAAAATTGGACTAAAAAGAAAGAAAAAGCAACTCCATGAACTTGAAATATTGAAGTAAATCATTTGTTAAAGAATGAATTAGAAACTCAAGATGAAAAAACAAATATTGGTTATTTTCAACATTTATGGAATGTGTGTTTAACACTATGACTGCCAGGGGTTTCAAAAAATAGTATCAGCCACCGCCAGACTTTTTAGCAAATTTTAACACTTTTCCGAAGCGTTGAGAGTGCGTATGCAATCAGATTGACATGCAGGGAATAATACAAGAATTACAAACATTCTAGATTTACAATGGTACCAAACACTTTATTCTAATCACAATTTGTGACCGGTAACAGTAAAATGAAAATGACTCACTTTTGGCGATTTACGCAATTTCGCACAACGAAGCTGAGATAATCGAAAATTTTTACCGCTCTACGCTAATGTAAACAAACAAATAGTGAAATACTTATGGTCCAGACTGAATATAGTGTTCAAATTGTTAGTACATGTCGGTAATTACCCCATCTATCAGAATCCGTAAAAAAACCTGAAACACGGAGATCTCCATGTTTGGCGGTTAAGCATTGTGTTACCAAACGTGGAGATCTCCATGTTTGGCCGGGCAGAGTGTTAATGGAGAAATAATTTATTTTAACTTTAGAGGGTGATCAAAAAGTATTTCACCTCATTGAAATAAAAAGTGTTTTAGGGTTCTATCTTTTCCCACCCCAACTCATAGTATATCTGAACATTTTCTAATTTGGATTTGATTGTTTTATTAATAACATAATTTTATTTATTTATTTATTTATTTATTTATTTATTTATTTATTTATTTATTGACACTTCACCTTTTGAACGGTGGCACACACAACTTTTGTGGTGCAGTCTAACAACAACAACAACTAAGATACAAAAGTAACAACCAATACAAAAACAAATTAAATTTTGTATAGTACATGAGAGGATATTCCTTGTTAAAAAAATGCTGAGTTAAATTTTACGATAATTTGAATATATGTAATAATGTACAGAGCATTACAATGTGCTTTTAGCCCATGCCTTAAGTCCTGTCCAAACTATAAAATTTCATTAGACAAAAACATGTGACATGCCTAAATATGGTCATGATGACATCACATCATGACCATATATAAGCATATCATGACTATATATGGGCAGACAATAATTTTTTGTCAAAAAAAGTTTGATAATCTGGACAGAGCCTTAGGTAAGGTGTTAATTCTGTAACAAGTTAAATTATAATCAGTATAAAGCTATGATAGCTCTGGTACCTACATACATTAATTTTAAGGAGCAGGGATAGCCATGAGGATATTGAGGCCTAAGTGAAACATCAACCAAAAGGTCATTTCTTTTTTCTGCCTCAAAATTTACTAAAAAAACAAGTCCTCGTAATCTCCAAAGTTCCAACTAGGGCAGTATAATAGAGGCAGTAGAGTATATCGGCCCTAACAGCCTCCCATACGAAAAAGATCTATTAATCAATCAGATTTCAATCAATCAGCCGAGTGTTCCTAGAGCTCCTCATCGGAGCTAAAAATCCCATTTTTTTAAACATAACATATACATATGATTTTGTTAACAAGTTATGTCCCTCTCTTCCATTTTTTTATGGTTTTAATGCGTATTTTGCTATTAAGAACTGTCTTCGATATTCTTTATGAAATAGTCTCGGTTATGCAAAATGCATGTAAAAATATTAGATATAGATCCAAGGTTTTCTTGCTTTTTTGTTTATTTACAATTTAACACAAAACAGAATTCTGTCTCTTATACACATCTAGATGTGTATAAGAGACAGATCTCCTACTGTTGTAATATCAATTAATTATAAAACTTAGTTGGTAATGTAATATTTTATAATGCAACTTCCAATGTCAAAGTAGTATACAGTATATAAAATGATTTAAAATTGAATTTTAAAAACTGTTAAATTTTTAGCAAATGCTACTATGCTTCTTGTTATCTATTCATATTCAATTCAGTTTTGTTGAAAAAGTGCGCACATACCATGTTAAGCCGACAGTCTTTGTTTCATTCGTTCCTCAATCTCAGCATATGTATATGATGACTCTGAGCTATCACCGGATACTTGGACACCGACTGACCGTTTCCATGGTGTCGCTTCACCTGCAAACGGTGAATGAAGACTATCTTTAGGCTCAAAATATACGTCCGGTTGTGGAATGCGCTGTCCTGTGTAATCTATAGCATGGCTACGTGTATAAACTTGAAAATAGCACAGCAAAATCGCCATTATTAATGATAAAAGAAGTAAACTGGCCCCGGCAACTGATAAGATCGTGGCTGCCGGAAGCTCAGTGTATTGTGCTTGATTTTGCTCGTTACTATTTTGGGAGGTTTCAGGAAGGTAGTCCTGGAGATCCGAGTCTTCATCATCAATAATAATGACGGTCTCATCACTCCCTTGACCAACCTCATTATGAACATTACACTTAACTATCGTCCCTTCGTGGCTCCTGAGTACACGTGACAAACGTAAAACTTGGCCATTGTTTTCAATGCCGTACTCTCGAATTGGTGGAATTATTGTCCAGTTGTACATGACTTTTGAAGGGCTAGCCGAGCTAAAGCATACAAAAATCGCTTCCTCATTGATAGCATATTTGGGAATATTAAGTTGTACACTGGGCTTGTAGTCCACCTGAAATGGGCCGATCGAACAGTTTCTTTCAAACTTTGGATTATCCGGTATTCTTAGCTGACACCAGTAGATAGCACCGTTATCATTCCGTGTGAGTGTCATATTGTATGTTATTCTTAATATATTTTTTATATTTGTCATGTGTGATTTGAGCATTTTGTTTTGTCGATTCCAAGTAAGTTTCGGGTTAGGCTGTGAATTTTCACTGATGCATTCTATTTTGAGCGTCTCTCCTTCTTTGTACTTCTTTTTGTTACTTAAATTGATGCATTTTGGATACTGCTCTCCCGGTTTCTCAAAAACCTTGATTTTAGCCACCTGCGAGTGTTTTATTTCTTTTTTCAATTTTGATGTTACAGCACATATGTAGCTGTTCTTTCCATCACTTCTTTCAATGTTTTTTACCATAAGATTATTTGTATGATGTATATCATTTATAGCTGTTAATATTGAGTATTTATCTCTCTGGTCTTCATTTATAATCAGTGATCCATTACTAATAATGTCGCCGTTAACTTTCCATGTTACATTCTCATTTTTTTTATCCAGATCGGTCACGATACAAGCAAGGATCGTGGATGAACCTTCTTCCCCTTCCACTATTTCCTGGGGCTCTGTTTGGAATCTTACCTCCATACTAGGATTAATCTTCATGCACAGTAGCATAACCATAATATATACCTGCAATACATCCATGCTTCTGACCAATTATGTGCTGGAAATTTAATATTTACAAAAATCTGTGACTCATTCCACCAAGTATAAGAATATGCTCAATTGGGATGATGTGCCAGAACCAATTTTTTAAGCGTGGAAATTATAAATTCTTGTATGTTTTTCTTTTAATGTTCGTTCACTTCTCACTGAGAAATAATGGCAAATAATTTATTGAACAGTACCTTTGTCTCCAACTGGTAATTCCTCATTTTTTCCCATTCAAGATCGTCGGCGAAACAAATCCACAGAAGACATTAAAAAACCATTTCCTTCAGCTTAGAAATTTTGCAGATATTCTTATTGATTGCCACTCATTTCCACTGCTCTCTGTGGTAATTTCCTGTTCCTCGATGTTCTAACTCACTATCCACGAGCCAAAAGTTTTTATCGATTTCCACTTTCTTATTGTACTGTAGCAAGGTCAGTTAGTGAGGTATCTGTTGGCGGAGAGCAGGCAGCACCCTCCTTGTGTGTCAAACTACACTCGGTGCATATTTTCTTTCTGTCAATTAGTCAATTGCTGCGCGTCGTCTGCTGTATTGGCAGGATTAGTGACTCTGAGGCAGTGCACACCTCCTTGTCTGCTTGTAATTTGCACTCCGTTCGCTGGAGTGTGATACGTTGTAATAGCTTTTTAATGAACAGAGGAGTAATTTCATAAAGGAATATTGAGCTTGAGAGCACTTCTGTTTGCTTAGTGTTAGACTTGTGGCCATACTAAATTAAGATTGTGTTTCCTATTTATGAATTACTTCCAGGCTTTTCAGTGAAGAAAACTGACTGAATTGAATGTGACAGTCATATTAAAGTATTTGGACCCTAAAGCTAATAATTTTATTATTCAAATTTTAAGTTCATACTTTTCAATATCCATAGCGCAATATTTCTTAAAACTTATTTTGTTGTCATGATATTTTTTTTATAGTATAATATGTTAATGGAAACTATATTTTAATTTTGATTAATATAATATTTACATGTGTTTACTTTTAAGTGGAAATTAAGTGTGACTATGTATTTGTTTTATCTTATAATGTTAGTATATTATGCATTTTCAACATTGAATTTCATATGAACAGAGTTGTGCGCAAGGAAAATATACATCAATTTTATGTTTTATATATATTACCATAATAACAATAAAATGAATCTGGAAAATTTTGACTAAATTTATATAAACATTGTTTTATGGTAGATATTAAATGGTAAGTCAATTTCAATACTTATTTTTTATAAAAGTTCCAGTTTCTATTTGAGTAACATAACATTCTGTTGAATTGGCCAAATCTATTACCAAACTTTAGCAACAAATCGTGTAGATCAATAGACTGTTAACAGCACTGAAATGCGTTGAATCTCCGGCTCCCATGTGCTAATTTTCGAAGACGAATCGGAATTGTGAAAAACGTGCCTTAAAGGGGCCGAAGCCTGGAGCGCTGTTTAAAATGATGTAAAGTGTGTGGCTGTAAGCACGTCGGAGCGTTAGTAATCAATTACATTCTAGTACATTACACGCAAATTAAAAGGGGCCGCTAAGTCAATGCATCGCAAGAACTCCTCTACTCGTACCACCTGGAGGAAACTGATATGAGTCTCCTCATTATTTACGTTTTTATTCCTTCTTAAAAATATTCGTTATATTGAAGGATTTGCCCTTGTATGTAAAGACAATTATTCAATGTTAAAAAGCTTCAAGAGAAAGCCATATTTTAGTTGAATATTGACAAGCAATAAATATACTCAACATAGCCGCCCATTTATTAAGTCAACGTTAAACGAAAGTGTGATTTTTTTAATGCATTCTCCTTCTCTTTAATTGAAAAGTGTGATTTGTTGTCTGTAGTATATTATCCTTCTATTTAAGTGGTTGTGTGAGACCAATTTATCAATATGCTGTATACCATTTATAGCAGCTCTTTCATGGAATAAGAATTTATTTGCTGGGTTGCTGCTGTTTTCAAATTCTTTGTTCCGAAGTGCAGCATTATAGATTAGCCTGTTTTTATTTTGAATATTTATTTAATGTATGGTCCTATGATGTTATTACAAAGATGTAATATCATAGAGATACTAATATAATTAAAAGTATTAAAATAAATACTGTTTTATAATATATAATAACATAAATCTGTTGTTTTTTTCCCCATCCAGGTAGCTTAATTAAAAATAAATTTTTAAAAAATCATGAAAACACTTCACAAAAGCAAAAGTAATGTATGAAATTATGTTTTTTAAAAGATTTCAAAGTTAGCAAATCAAGGGTTTAGCCAGAAAAACGATATACTGTAAAACCGGTAATTTTTGCGGTACATTTATTTTCGCGCTCTTCGCGCCAGCACAAGCTAGTGCGAATTCAACAACACGCGAAAATATTAACACCAACAAAAATAATGCTCTATTATGTACGGTATTACAGTACAGTACACTGGGCTCAACCTTGCCACCATACGCATGTGTGCCAAGCCTCGCCTAAGTCTTACCGTACAGCAACGTATAGGCCTAGCCTAGCTGTTTTTCTAGGCCTAGCCTAGCTGTTTTTCCCTAGGCCTACACACTAGGATACTGTCATGTACTGTATAGTACGGTGAACGTTTTTTCTTCCGAATATTCTACATAAGTGATCATTTAAACTAAAAAGAAGTGTGTTTGTTTTCTTTGAAAAACCTGTCGCGGATCAACGACGACATCATCATCGAGGTTGATATTTTTTATGAACAACGCCACCAGCAAATGAAAAGCATTTTTTATTCTTATCCCCATGGTAACTCCGGGATAGTTACAGTTTTGCGGTGATGCAACGAAATTTCACACATAAATGATAGATATTTCTTGCGTAAAATGAAGGTTCTTGTCTATTTATTTCTTAAAAAGCATTTTATTCGTTGATTTAACATATATGACTATATATATTTTAATGGCATTATAATGAGCCAGCCTGGATGACTAGGCCTAGCCTAGGCCTACTTTACTATAGCCCTTGCCTAGATCATAGCTTTAGATAGTGACGACCATGGATATCTACGTAAAATCCAGCAGTAAAGAAAATATTTACTACTGGGGAAAATCTGAAGCGCGAAAACAACAACCTGCAAATATGTTGAAAGGGTCTCAGAGCGCGAAAATTTACTCGCGCGAAAATTACCGGTTTTACAGTAGGCCACTTAAAATGGAAGCCAGTGGCCGTGGCACTGAACCGATGGGTTTCCTTTAATTTTTTTCTTTTTCAGGCTTTATTCCCACTTCTAAGTGGGTTCGCTAGTGAGGTTTGCCATCCTTCACATATTCCTGTCTACTGCATCCTCATCTGTCAACCCTGCTGCTTTCATGTCCTCCTTGACACAGTCACTCCAACTCCATTTTTGCCTCTGGACTCTCTCTGGAAATCTCCTTTCCCTAAGGTTCTTAAAGAGACTTAGTTTATTGAACATCATTCCATCCTATAATTGGCTTATATACTTGCTGTTTGATGTGAATGAAATATTTCATAAGAAATATCTGGTTATTCCAAAATTTGACAAATCTGTATTTAATGTTCTTTTCTAAAATTCATTTATCTGGTTTATTTATTTATTTATTTATTTATTCAACAATATTTCGAGAGGGTGACCCATTCAGCTTGAGCTGATTTTAAGAGGCCCTCGACAATACAAGAACATATTTACAAAAAACAAACATCAACAAGTTAAAAGATTATTTACAAAAAAAATTTGAAATGATAAAATTCAATAAAATACAAAGGGAAAATAATCAGTTTAAAAGTAGATAGAAAAAAAGATTAAATAAATCTTGGTACTGGTACTGGTACTTGTAGCCGTCTGATTTTAAACATTTGGCATATTTCGCACACTTGGGCTAACAAGTCCTCGAAAATATACCCCATAAATGTGGCACCTCCCTGTATAGAAATATTTAACAGTGAGCCCAGGGCGATTCATGCAAATCTTTTATTTCCACAAAAAGGTAGCACAATATAATAATGTTAAAGATATGGAAATTTGTCACCTCATGTAAGCAAATGCTCTAAAATGTGGTGCCATGTTTTTATATACTATATGCAGTACTGTATTCATATAAATGTATACATATTTTTTTTTAATGCAGTGGATGTAAAATTTTCTTTCTAGCAAAGAAAAATTTTTTTGAAAATATAATATTTTGTATTAGCCTACTACTAAATTGTGCTAAATGGGATTTTTTTTCAATTCAGTGATACTAATGTCACTTTAGGGTCACTTATCATTATTCACAATTGTTTACACCCTGCAGAGTGAGAACATTTCTGTCCAGTCATCTATTCATGCATTATCTAATTACTTATTTGTATTCATGTTTACAATATTTTATGCATTAATTAATAACTTTATGCATTTAATTATATGTATGTATACAATCATTCTTTTATTTAAACATTAATTAATTCATCTATTTTTTTTATTCATTAAGTTATTCGTTTGTGATTACAAACACAATTATTAAATAAATAAATTCATTTATTCATTGATTATTCAGTCATTAATTCTTTCAATTATTAATTCATTTAATTTGTTTTTATTCATTCAATTGTTTATTCATTCATTCAATCATTCATTCATTCTTATACAGCAGAAAAAAAAATTTAATTTTGAACACTTCTTTTCGCTGTTCCCTCCAATCAGTACTCATGACACTTTATACACAAAAATAGTGTTTTTTCTTCTTTTCAGTTCTAGCTCTCCTCCTTTTGTGCTATCAGTAAATTTTGAAAGGATAAAACATCTAATGAATTGATCAACTAAAATAAATAATTCATGAAACAAAGTGAACATAATAGTAAGATAATAATAATGCTAAGAAAACAACACTTTAATGGATCGTATCAGGTTGCTTATACATAGTTATGAATAGGCCTACTTAAACAATTCCACACCATTTGACAGCTGTGTATACAGTCATTAACGATGATTCCTTCCCATCACATGAAATAATTGATGAAGATTTTAAACTTGTGTTTTCTTAAATATAGGATGTCCACCCTAATAATAGTTTACTCGTTTATAGGTGAAGCATTCCGACGTGCTCAGTTAAAGTAAAGCATCTTTCACAAGCAATACGTTTGCGAATATGAAGCAATTCACCTACGGTAGTTTAGCAAAGACCTTTGTGGTTGAAATGCTTCATGCCCAATCTTGGTAGTTTCATTTTAATCTTATTCGCTTTTATTTACCGAGGGTGATCCAAAACATCAAATGCTGACAATCATGGGGCCCTCACCTAAAAACATTACAGTTCATATAATTGCAACAAACACAAAAGAGCGAACTATACAATTTAAAATATTTATGAATTATCAATGAATAATTTATGAACATTGAAAAAAAATGCATTAAAAAACTCAATAAATCTACCAAATATATCGTTCAAATAGTTATTAAGAAAAATATATATTGCTTTATATAAAAAATCAATCAAAATTTAGTCGTCAGAAATATTATGAAGAAAGGTTAAAATAAAAAAAATTTTTTGCATTATAGTGTAGTTATTCAGAAAAAAATACAAGAATTATTTTATCTATCAAAAATATAATTTAGTTATCAAAAAAAATCAATCAATATTTGAACCTCTCTACAATTAAATAAATA